AGGAGGCAGCAGACTTCCCTCAGAGCAGGGAAGTTTCATATGTACATAGTGAAGTCTGAAGTTAGTAATATATATTAGGATAAAGTTTTGTGTGACTGGATTTCTTTCTTTCCTAGGGTGGGTTAAGAGCACAGAAGATGCTGTTGATTATTCAGACATTAATGAAGTTGCAGAAGATGAGAGCCGTAGGTATAAGCAGGCCATGGGCAGCCTGCAGCCAATTCGAAGACCAGGTAAATGGGATGAGCGTCACAGCTCTAGCTGTAGAAGATATTTTGAGGCAGTGGGCCTTGACAGTCTCTTATATGGGTGACATTGTGCCTTTTCACTCCTTGTTTCAAGAAACTAATGTAAACTTTCGTGAAACTGTTCACTGGCTGAAGCCACTGCTTGATCATTTTTTAAGTAATTGGTTCCTCATTAGAGTTAAACTATATTTAGAAGAGAAACCAGGATCCTTTTGCTCTGGGATCCCCTGCAGAGAATACCTAATACTTGCTTGTATTTCTTTAAACTATGTTCTTAGAAGGTTATGCAGGAGGCCAGTTACTTCTTGGAAGTACTGAGAGATAAGGTGCTGATCCCTTAGAGAGTCACTTCAGTCTTACTATCTCCCTCCTGTTTTACCCTTGAATTCTTTTTTCTGAAATTACTTTTTGCAGAAGGCACTTTGCTTCTTTTATCAGTCGCAGGGATCTCTGTCTGGCCTAGAACAGATTTTCAAAACCATGCAGCTTTTCCCTTTCCGTAGCTGTTGGTGCAAATGCCAAATCTTTGCATGTTCCCTAAAGCTGTCTTGCGCTTAACCTTCCTGTTGACATATTGTGGTTAGTGGCATGTAGAGGTGGTTTGGGCTTTTTGACCACATTTTTCTTACTTCTTTAGTCGCTTTATTTGTTCTGCAAAGCATGAATAAGGGGAGGTGATGGCAGGAAAAAACAAATGAATTAAGTGCTTCAGTCATCTTTCTGTCAGTTTGGCTTTTTCCCTCCTTCCCACTCTTTCTTAAATTTCAGTCTTGCAAATGAGTTTGTGGAGGAAGCTGAACTTGTAAGAGTTTTGCATCTAGTTACAAAATGAGAATGCTCTCCTTACTAACGAGAAGACATGGTCTTCTTATCAGATTGGGACAGGTATGAGGGGCATAAATGGGAAGGGTGCCTGGTTCCCTTTTATTGCCTGCTTAATATGCAGTCTTGTCTCCTGACTGGTTAGATGAAGATGAGGATGATTATGATGCTGACTGTGAAGATATTGATTCCAAGTTGATGCCACCGCCACCACCACCTCCAGTACCTGGAAAGAAAGAAGATGAAAAGGATGCAGCTACCACTGGTGAGTGAGGATTTTCCTCTTCTCTCTGGCGATATGAATATCTGAAGGAAGCAAACGCTGCAGTTCATTCTGCAGAAAGCACCACGCATCGTCAAAATGCGGTCTGCAGACTGCATCTAAAGGTGGGTCTTTTTCCTGATACGCAATTTATAGGATTGTCTGAAACGTAGGATGAAATACTCTATTTCCAGTGATTGTTAAAATACTGATATTGACAATGAAACTGCTTTTTTATCTCATCCTCTCAGTTGTGGCTGGGAAATTCACCTGGAACGCTTAGGATAAAATGAAAGGTTAAACCAGAATGGTACTCATAACACCTGCAGAGGCTTATTTTTTCCATAACTTTATATAAACAGTAGATGTGACATTATGGGGTTGTACTAGGGGACAGGGAGGAAACCTGTTTGTTTATAAGGTGCTTGTTCTATTGTAGTATCTGAAGATGGAGACGGTATCATTTTGCCCTCCATCATTGCTCCTTCCTCTGCTGCCTCCGACAAGGTGGATTTCAGCAGCAGCTCTGATTCTGAGTCAGAGATGGGACCTCAAGAAGCCAGGCAGGCAGAATCCAAGGAAGGCAAACTCACACTTCCTCTTGCAGGAATCATGCAGCGAGATGCTACCAAACAGTTGCCAAGCGTTACAGAGCTCTTCCCGGAATTTCGACCAGGCAAGGTATTGTAAGAGATGTGTGGAAGTGACAGAAACTGTATCATGTAAGCCACCTAAATATTAATCATATAGTAGTAATTAAGGGTGTGTAGCAAGTAATTTCATAGATGTTCTTGCTCACCTGAGCAGTTTCTTTAGTTTCTGTGTGTTGCTGTTTCCAGACTGCTTAACATGTAATGCTTTTCCTGCCATTTGCAGGAGCCTCTTAAAAAGTGTCATATAAATCAGGGTGTGAAATAAGTTTTGCTGTTCTGTAAGACTATAGCATAGACCTGTTGATTTGTGAAAATTGTTTTCCTGAGGTAGTAGAGGATACTTTTGCCAGATAATTAAAAACCATAATGCCAACCTGTCTGCTTTTTGGCTTTTATGGCAAATACTTGCTCCTCCTTTCATGCTTTTCTGAACTTGGTGTGCTCTTCCTGAAACAATTTGTGATCTGTATCCTGTACTTAGTTCTGTCTCACAGCTGCTCTGAGTATGGATCAGAAATTAACAATGAGTTGGTTGAAAGAATAATCTTTTTTTGCAGAAAGCGAATTCATTAAAGTACTTTCTTAAAAGGTCCCAAATAGCAAATGTAGTCGATGTATTTTCAATAATTATTTTGAAAGTTTTAAAGCAGTCAAGAGGAGAGGAAATGTGGGAGGAGAAGGAGAATAAAGGTGAGCTTATAGTTGCCAAACAGATGGTTGTGAGCCAGAATAACTTGTTTTTATATGTGTCTCCATCACAGGCTTTGTGTAAGGAGCTGAGCAATTTGCGTAATTAAATGTCATGTTTTAATGATTTAGCTAACTTCTGTCCATTAGAAATCTAGGTGAGGCTTTAGTACAGAAGTTAGCATTCTGGATGCTCTCCTGTCTTGCAAATTTGGTGTTTCCTATGTTACTGTATTTTGTATCAGTTGCTGCATTCATTTCTTTGGTGCTCAACCTGTCATGTCAGGGACTGGTTAAGTGTTGAATGTGCCCAGTGGGTGCAGAAATCAGTTTGAGCTGTTAATGCTGAGCACTTTTCCTAATTAATTCATGAGCACTAGGGCTGGCAAAGCCTGCAATCCTGTAGATTTGGCTGTGAGGGTTGGTTGATGTCTGAGACTGGGCATGTTAATGTAGCACTGTTTTGCTTGATGGAGCCACTTGAAATAGCATGTGGAGAAGCAGACTTTGTGTTTTGTTAAACTGTCAGCACCTTAACTGTGTCTGAGACCTTTGCCCTTGGTGAAAGGTCATTGAAATTGGCCAAAGCATTCAGAAGTAATCTGGGAGAGTTTTGGGAAGAAGGATAATGCGATGTGGGCAGAGATGGGCAGAGTGGTCGTATAAACATTATTTCCTTTGAGGATCAGTGTAGTGGATTAACAGAGAACATTAAGAGGATGTCTTTTTACAAATTTTTGGTTCTAATTCCCGTTTCCTAAATCTGTTGGTTAATTTGGGAGCAATGCTTTCCGTCTTTACAAGAGTGCTCTGAAAAAAACAATTATCAGTGCTTAAAACCTGGCAGTCATAATTGTACAAGAAACAGAAGAGAATGTTTGTCATTGTTATTAGTGCATGCTTTGGAGGTATCCAGTATGCATATAGAGAAACTGCATTACGATGGAAATAAAAATGAGTGTATTATTTCTGGACCATGATATTTGTTTTTTCCTGGTTACTTGAGAAATCTCTTCTTTATGTAACTGTCTCCTATCTTTGTCTCTTTTGCTAGTAGTTTTATCAACTCTTTTTCAGTCTCCATGTGTCTTTCTGAAGGTTGTGGATTGTTCAAAATGAAAATAAACATTTCCAGGTGGTGTCTTGCCACATGCCTAATATGTAAATGCAATCTTTCTTCCCTTTGTTTAGTTTCTTTGTATCTGAAATTAAGAATAAATCGTTTTGAAAAGGAAGGATCCATCAAACAGATGGATCAAACTTTTCTTCAAGTATAACCAAGAGATGGTTGATTGCATCAGGGCTTGGGATTGTAGCACAAGCCAAGCTTCTGAATTTCAGAGTGTTGTCTTTCATTACTGCTTTTCAGATGAGGGACAGACAGACAAGCATTCCACAGTGTTTTTTTTTCTCTGACCCTCTTGTTTTTTTGTGTTCTAGGTGCTGCGTTTCCTGCGTCTCTTTGGCCCTGGAAAGAATGTTCCATCGGTTTGGCGTAGTGCCCGAAGGAAACGCAAGAAGAAGCATCGGGAGTTGGCACAAGAATTGCAGATACAAGAGGGTGAAGTTGTAGTTGAGAGTGGAATGGAAGGAAAATCTCCTTGGGAATATGAGTTTGCTGCTCCTCCCCCTCCTGAGCAGTGCCTTTCAGATGATGAGGTGGGATATCTGAGACTTAGAGAGGGTCGCCAGCTAGCACTGGGGGTAGTAGTGGATTGGACAGCGACTTTTAGAGTAAAGAGCTTTTCCTCTGAAATAAAACTGGAGGACAGGGTTGGCTTGTATTCCAGCTGTGCAGAAGCTCTTCTCCAGATACTAGTTAGTGACTTCAGGTGATTGCTTCTTACTGAGAAGGCTGCATCCGTGGTATAGGATCAATAGGAGAGCTTATCCTCTTTGTATCAAGAAGAAATCACTGTGTTCTTGGAAGTCTAATTGCAGAACATTCTTAAGGCAGCTAGTAAGTATGGACAAGCACTTCTTAGAAATACTTTTCTCCTCTGAGAATAAGCTGAGAAACTTGGAAGGAAGAAACCTCTTACTGACACTTGCATAGACCATCAGTGTAACCATTCCCTCCTTTGCTGTGCTTCAGATTACCATGATGGCACCTGTGGAATCAAAATTTTCCCAGTCAGCTGGTGATGCAGACAAAGTAACGGATACAAAGCCTAAAGTGGCAGAATGGCGCTATGGCCCTGCACAGCTCTGGTATGATATGCTGGGGATCCCTGAAGATGGCAGTGGATTTGATTATGGTTTCAAGCTGAAAGAGAAGAAGAAGGAACAGGAGGTTAAAGGACACACGGATGAGGGGGTGAGAGGGGAACTGTGGGGAAAGGTGTGGAGATGTGTGTGGCACTAGGGATTTCTGCGCAATGAGAACTTGTTGATAGGCTGATGGCTGGTTGTGCACCATGCAAAATGAGATTTTTAATTTTCCTCCTTTAGTTTGAAAGTGTTAAGTCAGTGCAGGTCTTCAAGCAACTATTCTTTTCTTCCAGGATGCAGGGATGGATGAGAAGGATGATCTGCTGGCTGATGAGCACTTCCTTATGGTGACACAGCTCCAATGGGAGGATGATGTTATCTGGAATGGGGAAGATGTCAAGCACAAAGGGACTAAGACACAGCGGGCAAGTTTGGCAGGCTGGCTGCCGTCCAGCATGACCAGAAATGCCACTGCATACAATGCCCAACAAGGTAATCAGTGATCTGATAGGAATTGTATTTGCTGTAGTTGAGCTGACTCATTGCGTGCTTTCATCTCAAAACCAGAAAATAATTCTCCCTGTCAGGGAATATTTTTTGGCAAAATCACAGCTCCATTCAGAATTCTGCGACTCTTACTTTCTTTCCAAAAACAGAGTAGATCCCTTCTGTTAAAGAAAATTATCAACTCTGGCTTTCTTCTCTCCATGTGGAATACCAGATGCTAGATCCATCTACATTAGTATCAAGCACTGCTACACTTAGGATGTCTGCTGTTTATAGGCCAATGGAATTTTCTTTATATTTTTTTTTTTAATTGGAAGAATTGTGTAGAAGTCCTGTGAAGTTTCTCCTGAACTAATAATGATTTTTTTTTTTTCTAGATAGGAAGTAACAATTCTTATAAACCTCAGACTTTTCTTAGACACAGATGCATTTTATGTTAAAATTGCTTTATCATCTGTTATCCTGCTTCTACAAGGAAAGACTCATAGGACTGTCAGATCTTTATTGGGTATTAGTGTCAAACCTTTACTGTTCAGGTATGAGTACAAGACACTCTGAGGAGTTGGGTAGATGAATTGGAGATAGCTTTTTGTAACAGTTTTCATTTCAGCACAGTTGTGCCTAAGCTATCTAGGCCTGGGCTTGCTGTGTTTGAGTCCCATCAAAAGCTACAGTAACTTGTTAAACATGGTTGGTCTGTTCACATGCGTTAGGTCTTAGGCCTTCCAGAAGCATTAACTTAAGTAACATAAGTGATATGTGAGCGTAGCTGAGTTGGCCTGCCCTGGGAGGAGCTGGCTCCGCAGACAGTTTGACATAAGACAGGAAGCTGCTGGAGGCCAGACCAGCTGTTGTGTCGATGGCAACTGTCTGCTCAAGGCCTTTCACTTTTATAGGGACCATACTGAAACACTCCCTATCGTTGTCATTCAGCACATGCAAAGCAAGCCAAACGTAACTTTGAAGAGGCTGCGGACTCCAGCAGTAAGCTGTGAGTGAGTGTTTTTGTAAGTCCTACCCATACTGATGACACATGACACTCTCTGTGATGTGAACCATCCTAGTTCAGGCTGGAAATCACTCTCCATGCAACTCCCCGGTGCTGGTTTAAGGCAATGCAATGCCCCCTAACCTTCCCACTCAAGCTAACCTTACTTTTGTTTTCCTTTTCTCTAGGTTTGAACCGCAGTGGCTCTTTGCTTAATCCACCAATTCCACTAGCACAGAAACCAAATGTAGCAGGAGTCCTAGGTATAGCAAAGGGCAAAGAAAAGCAGGCCTCTGAACAACAAGGTAATGAGGGTGTCAGTCTTTGGCCTATGAATAGGTGCATGTGACATATTTCTGTATGGACTTGTGTTCTACATAATAGCAAAGTCGGTTTTGGCAACAAGTTATAGATAAATGGGATGCTTGTTTGCTCTTCAGCCCTTTAGAGGCCCTATTTGATTCTTGGAGGTTCTCTATATGTCAATGGAGCAAAATCTTTAGGTGTTGGTAAAGCTGAGACTTGGGGCTCTGCTTCCTCTTTGCTTCCAAAATGAGTTTTCTTCTGCCTTGTAGAGGTCCTGCCTCAGAAAGTCCTGAAAGATGGGGAAGGTTGACGGAATAAGATGTGAGGGTGAACTTTGAAATTATTTTCTGCCAAGGTAGCATATAAAACTCTTAAGGATTCTATCTTATGATTGCTGCAGTTTCCCTGGATGAAGACAAGCCCTGGTACTCTATTTTCCCAATTGATAATGAAGAGTTAGTATATGGCCGCTGGGAAGATAATATCATCTGGGATGATCAGGCAATGGAAACCTACTTGGATCCCCCTGTCTTAACACTTGATCCAAATGATGAAAACATAATTCTAGGTATGTTTATGGCATCCAGAAATTTGACTCAAATGGGAAAAGACAAGTGGAAATGGAAACAATGATTTATAGTCACACTGTAATAGAAATAAATGATCTGGGGTCCACTGCAAAGAAACAACCTTTCATTGTTCTGGCTTCTGAAGATAATTTGTGAGTAATCAAAGGCCTAACCAGAAGAAGGTGACACTAATAGCTCTAATGGTGTGGTATAAGCTTTCAGCTCCCAAGTTAAAAGCAGTAACAGGAGAGTAAAAATTAATGCCCTGAAATTTATATTTAATGCAATTAATCTGACTCTTGGTGTGTTTTAGAAGCAACTGTCTTAATTTTGCTTGCATGCATGTTGGTTTGAAGAGGAAAGGTAGAAAAGTAAACCACAAACTAGCCCATGCCATTTTCAGCACGGCTCGTATTCAAAGCCTGAAGCATCAGATTCCTTAAACCTCTTTCAGGCTATGGTAATGACACGTGGGAGCAATGACTTCGCATAATGCCTGTCAGCATTTTTGTGACTGCAACAAACTTACTCAGTATTTCTGGAGTTTGATTTGAATGTACTCCCTGCTTATATTGCTACAAGATGGATTTTTGTCTTATTTGGACCACTAAAGTCACCACTTTCTCTTAGATCTGTGCGTTGGTAATCTTCAAGCAGCCTTATGTAATTTAAGGATAGGCATGTCTTGCTACATTTTTATATGGCCTGGATTGCATTTTCTTCCTCAGGAAAGTGGGTCAGTTCTAAGAATTTCTATATGTGTTGATTGGAATGTTTTGGTATTAGCCAGCAGCCTTGAAAATTACTCTTAATTTGAGCTTCGTTAAAGTAAAGACAAACAGACTGCAAATATTTTTTTTCCTAGTTTGAAATACAGCACAAAATTGCAGATGTTTGTATAAATAGTGACAAAGGTGAACCCATTTATATAGAGTGACGTGAGATTTGGGCATGAAGTTGATACAGTGTTTACCAAGCCCATGTCACTAGGCCTTGCTTCTCATCTGAAAATTGTACTTGGAGGATCCGTGCTTCACAAATTGTTAACTTTTAAAATTCATAATACTTTCCTGGAATTTTCAGGAGTCCCTTTTGGGTTCAGGTCCGTGTTATGTTTGGATTCACTCACTTTCATGTTGTATGTATGCGGGGAAGAAAAAGATGATTAATGCATGTAGTTGGCAAACAGTATTGGCTCTCCTGTCACCTTGCCTCTCAACTCTTTAGAATAGTTTTGGTGGAAGAGATGCTATTTCTTGTACTTTCATTGATCAAATTATTAGTAAATTTTGTGTTGAGCAGTGGATACCCCAAGCAATCCCCACAGTCACCCTCCTCCCACTCAAATCTATCCACTGTGTGGACCTTCTTTGTGTTTGTTGAGCTTGTTTCATATTAACCTATATGGAGGAGAAGGAGGAGAATTGTAGGAGGACAGTCACCCAGAAACAGAACAAAAAGGCTAAAATGTCTGGAACCCAGCTGCAGCTCAGTAGGAGGTTGCAGTGCTGAACAGGAAACCCTAGGACAAGTGCTCTACAGTGTGATTGCTTGTGTTTTTAGAAATTCCTGATGAAAAGGAAGAGATGACTTTGAATTCTCCATCCAAGGAGAACAAGAAAGAATCTTCTCTAAAGAAGAGTCGAATCCTGTTGGGAAAAACAGGTGTCATCAAGGAAGAACCCCAGCAGGTCAGCATAAGATTTAGAACTTCGCAGGAATGACATGGAAGGAATGACTTTTTTTTTTTTTGACACCTCTCTCTCTGTTTAAAATTGTATTAGAATATGTCTCAGCCAGAGGTGAAGGATCCCTGGAACCTCTCCAATGATGAATTTTACTACCCCAAACAGCAGGGACTTCGAGGAACCTTTGGAGGCAACATCATTCAGGTAGTCACAGTAGTGTTGGCTAAAGAATGACAGATAGTGTCTTGGTAGGAGGTTTCTAGCTGACAGTATGATTTAGGATTTGTAGAAAAACATAAT